AATCAATCAGTGTGACAACTTGTGGGAAAAGTGTCTCTTATTACATGTGAAGTTACCTAGATTATCAGCTCATTATGAAACAGACATTTTCCAGTGCTTGATATACCTATTAAGTGGAAAAGCTTCTTACAGCAAAGTTTGACATACAAATAAAATTTTGTAATGAATTCTTCAAGTGCAAATAGAGCTGCTGCTGAACAGGGAGAGTCTGCTTGGCGTTGTGTCTAAGCAATGGCACAACTGAGATTGACAATGTGGGAAATGAGAGGCTCGAGTAACATGGTGGAAGAGAGCCCGCAGTGCGGGTCTTCCCAGGGGAAAGGTGCAGGTGCGCTATTGCTGGCTCTGGTGCAGTGCCCTGACTGGTCTTTGCTGCCTGTGAGCAGCACCTGGGACTGGAAGTCAAAGAGGAGCCATAGGATTGACATGGGAAGGTGCAACTTTACAGTTCTGCCACAGAGGGCTGAGAGGTGAGCTCGTGTCCTCTCAGCTCTTTTGGTTCAGCATTTCTCCCCCCCCCAAATCCAATGTTGTGTATGACTAGTACTGTGAAAATCATGCCAATCATCAATTTAAAGTCTCTTTTCATTAAGCAGCACAATCTGACTTAAATAAGTCCTTAAGAGGCTGACCGTGGTTTAAAGATAATAGTCGAGACTCAGAACTTGGTGAAATAACTCTGGTGTCTTCAGGGAAGCTGACTGCTTCTATCAGGTTGAAACTCGTCCACTGTGCTTCCTTTTCTGTAGAATGGTATCACAAAGACATTTTCTTATCAGGCAATAATGTGTTTAAAAATAAAATATGTGAAATGCAATCTCCTGTTTTGTAGTGTTCATACAGCCTTTGGTGATATGACCTACTGCATTGTAGTAGCTCTGGCTGATGGTGTAACTGTAGTGTTTAGTTTAAAATAAGAATAGTAAAAAAACCCCAGATTTCAGGATTATATATAGCTAGTATAATATTGAAATTAGGTAACTTGCTCTTTATGGTGTTCTCTGTAGAGCTGTTAAATATCAGTAAAGTTCTAAAAGTGAAACAAAAAGGTTGTAAAGTAGCTTGTAGAGATATGGAAACAGTTGAGATTTTAAAATCTCAGTGTGGTTTGTAGACTAATCTCATATATTGTACTTGAATGTGACAAGTTATCTTAAAATCTGTCAGCTTGTCTAGACCGGACAGCTTCTGCCAGCTTTTGTGTGTGTTGAGTTAGGTATTCCAGGGGGGAACTACCATATTCTTGTGCAAATGTCACCAATGAGATGCTTCCGTTTTCTTGCTTTTAAGGTTTAAGTGAAGAAGAGTCTTGCACAGCTAAAGTGTTTATAAATACTTTTTGCTTGATTAATTAGGAGCTATGATATGAAATTCCTCCAGAAGAAAAGTAGTGTGTATTTGATAAATTGTCTTTTTGTTCTCTGCACTGAATGTAACTATTGTGTAATAGTTTCTGGTTGTTTTTGTCAGAAGAAAAATGCAACACTTCTGTAAAATTAAAAGCAGATTGTATTTTACCCAGGAAAAATGTGTCATTGTCAGAGATTATCACAGATTGAGTTCTGTCAGACTTCTCATCAAATTACACTGACATTTTAAGATGGTGGAATTCAGTTCATTTGCACTCCAGTATCCAGTACTAGTACTCAAGTGTACATGCTAGCAAACTCACAGCTGTATTTATAAGCATACCTTATACAGTCCATCTCAGTGCAATGGCTATTTTGGAACATTAGATGTTAACCATTTTTGGAAAAGTTTATTTTGTGTGATGACTAGATTTTGTTAAATATTTTTGCAAATGCCTTTTAAATGTTTCTCTTGCTCTATAGATGAATTCTTATAAATTGGGACTTGTCAACAGGCTATCTGGGAGCACAGTGAAAGGCACAGGCGCGAAGCATGCAAGGTCTGCTTTGAATGAACTAGAGTACTGTCTGTCTTTGAGGAAGCCTTATTGTTTTATTCCTTTAAACCAGTTATTGAAGTGCTGAGCTTTTCATTTCCTACAGGAGTAATAGATTTATATTATTAACTATACGACTAGTAGCAAACTTCAGGGCTTTAATTTCTAAGTTCAAATTGAGATATTGATTCAAAGTGAATATATAAATATTTCTGAAGAGACTCTCATGGTAGGGAGAGGATACGTTGGATAGATTTTTTCTTAATATTTTTAAGAGGCAGTAGTATGTTGATGCTTTTATGTTTTGAGCTAGTTTACTCTGGTTCTGAAGATGGCTCTGTATTTTAAGAACTGTATTGTCACGTAATAAACTAATCTTTTTAGTTAGGGGTGGGTTTTTTTGGGGTGGTGGCAGGGGGTGGGGCAAAGGAGGGTAAGACTCCTCTCTGGAGTCTATCTGGAGCATATCCTCCTTTTAATGTAGCTTGATATATACAGTGCAGAAAAACTTTGGCACCTCTTTTGCACCTCTGTTTTATTTTTTTCTAAATCTACATTGCAGTTATATTTGTGTGTAACACAAATTTGTGCAATAATGCTTAAACTTACAGTATATGTTTTATATAAGAAGAAAAAGGTGCTACGTCCTTGGCTCATGTAACAGATATGATAGTCAAAATAAGTATCAGTATCTGAGAGACTTCTCTGTTTTGTTTTTAAAGAACCTCTTCTGGTGAGGTTTTAAGGCTTGGAGCTATGGATTTTAATTAAACATTTTCCTTTTTTCCTCTTTTTTTTTTCTTTCATTTTTTCTTTAATCCTTCATGCCTGGAGTTTTGAATCAGTTTGATCTGTGTGGGTTCATGCTTGGCAAAAGGGAAGAGGCCTGGCCCACCAGAGTATGGAAGTCCCCTTTTCCTTTCCCAAAGCTAAGATCTGCTTGGGGTATTATATTGCTTGCTACAAGGTAGACTTCAGTCATAGTTCAAAAACCAATATGGGGGCAATGCCACAAGAAGCCCTGTGCTAACTAGTCCTCCATTATACAATTTTGACCACATCTGATTGTGTTCTAGTCTTGCCATGAATGCTGAAGTAGCAGCTTTGCCCTTTCTGAATGCATACCCAAGTCATAGAGGCCAAAAGCACTTGGCCATATAAGAATCTCCGAAGAGTTAGCAGATTGTTTGCCAAGTATTTGCCATTTCCTGGCTATCACATAAGTAGTACGTCTTGTGATTCTTAGAACAGGTCCTTTAGGTGGGGTTATCACCCTTGCTGTGATAGGAAGTATTCTCAAAAGTGATACTCTGTAAAGGCCTTTGCTTACCCTATATTTCTGCATAGCTCACAGGTGCAGACTGCAGTGGCCAGGAATCTCAATCCTCAGATTGCATCTGGCGGCGTGTGAAGAATTCCCTTTTCCCATGAATTCCAGCCACCATTTAAAATCAGTTTTCAAGCTAATGGAGTAACATGTTCTGTACCTATGAGTTAGGAGGACCTAACTCCTTAAGTAATCTCTTCCTTTTCCACCAAAAAAAGATTAACAAATAAAGTCTTTCTTTTCACGGAGTTTCTCAATGGTGATGGTAATTATATATGTAACTACATACAGAGGTTGCCTAGGGAGGTGGTAGATGCACCATCCCTGGAAACATTCAAGGTCAGGTTGGATGGGGCTCTGGACAACCTGATCTAGTGGAAGATATCCCTGCTTACTGCAGAGGGGTTGGACTAGATGACTTCTGTGGTCCTTTCCAACTCAAACTATTCTATGATTCTATATTAATTTTTTAATTGCATAAAAATGGTAGACTGAACTCGTGCTTCCTACATTTTCTCAACTTGGTAAACCACAGGTCAAACATAACTTCTTTTAATAGTGAAATAAGTAGGCACTATAAATAGTCATCTGCTCAAGTTGTCAAAATACATCTCTAGGAGTGTAACTTTAATTTAAAAAATATCGCTTCTCTGTGTATTAGAGCAGAAAAATGTGCAGGGTTGATGTATCATGGAGCTAGCAGAAATTGAATTCACATTTGAACAATGATGTGTAAGGTCATTATCTTGTTTTTGTACTCAGATTGCATATTGTGCATAATTTGAACACGTGCTTTGGCATGTTATGTCTGTACACCTGTATGTAATTAGTATAAAATTTCATAGGATGCCATACAGTGAATTTAACCAAAGTAACTGCAAAATTTGAGAGAGTTTTCAACCTCTCCTTTCTCAATTTTAAGCTTATGTATCTTTTTTTTGTGGGCAAATAATTTTAACTAAATTTGTGTTCATAATAAAACCATACCAAGTATGCTAAAACATGATTATGAAGAAGGTATATTTTGTTGTTTCATAGTATTAAAATTACGTAGTCTGGGGAGGGGAGAGAAAATTTTAAAAAATCCTCCTTCACCTCTGAACTGTAAGAAAGAATTTATAAAGGCAACAACAATGGCATGGTGCTCGTGACAGACTTTTTTCTTAATAGCAGAAATAAGTTTAATACAGACCCTATGGAGCCAGAAATGTAACATCTCCATATACGCAGTTAAATGTTTCTAGGGCAATTGTGTAAACCAGGACAAGCTACCCCAAACACCTCAGACCCACCAAACCAGTGGCTGCATCCCAGCTGCCCACTGCTGCAGGTGCCTGACGAGGGCTGTGTGCCTGAGCTATGGATATTGCTTGGAGGACTGCCAGAGAGCCAGCACACCAAACAGGACTGTTCCAGCAATTATTTTTTTGGCATAGGTGATGGAATGACATGACAAGGAATGTTCTCAGACTTACTAAATTTGCTAATATAAACATGTCCAGTATTTCCCTCTTCTCCACCACATTGATTTTTAAATGTTTTTATTAGTAGAAATTTATCACAGAGTTTCTGAAATAAAACTTCTTGTACCATTCTGTAGTTGGTATCTGCTTCTACCGGCTGTCTTTCCACTAAACTTTAAGCAAATCATTATTCTTAGTTAAGCTATAAGTGCACGTACATGGGCCGTGTGTGTGTACATGTGGACTCTGCATATGCATAATACATACTTTTTGTAGTTCTCAAATAATTTTATTTTCTTTTCAGTGGGATGCCATAACTGAAATGGATGAACACAATCGTCCCATTCATACTTACCAGGTATGTAATGTAATGGAACCAAACCAAAACAACTGGCTTCGAACAAACTGGATCTCCCGTGATGCTGCACAGAAAATTTATGTGGAAATGAAGTTTACCCTGAGGGACTGCAACAGTATTCCATGGGTACTGGGAACCTGCAAGGAAACTTTCAATCTCTACTACATGGAGTCAGATGAGTCTCATGGAGTAAAATTCAAGCCAAACCAGTACACTAAAATTGATACAATTGCAGCTGATGAGAGCTTTACCCAGATGGACTTGGGTGACCGCATTCTTAAACTGAACACAGAAGTTCGTGAGGTTGGGCCAATAAACAAGAAAGGATTTTATCTTGCTTTTCAGGACATTGGAGCATGCATTGCTTTGGTCTCAGTCCGTGTCTATTACAAAAAGTGCCCTTTCACAGTCCGTAACTTGGCTATGTTTCCTGATACTATTCCAAGGGTTGATTCTTCCTCTTTGGTGGAAGTACGGGGCTCCTGTGTGAAAAGTGCTGAGGAACGTGATACTCCAAAATTGTACTGTGGAGCTGATGGGGATTGGCTTGTGCCCCTAGGACGATGCATTTGCAGTGTAGGATATGAAGAAGTGGATGGCTCCTGCCATGGTAAGTAAATGTTGATTTTTTTAATTTTTTTTTTTTTTTTTTTTTTTTAAAACAAGACTTATGATGTTATATGCACAGCAAATAGGTCATGGTATATTGGAAAGATTGCATCATGTTTTCAAAGAATGCCTCTTGCCCGGAAATAAGCAAAGTATATATTGTGGGTTTCCAAGAAAACATGTCATTATTAAAGACGACCTTCACTTTGCCTAACTGTAAGGATCTACGATGAAAATGTATGTAGATCAGCTTGTCACCTTGACTCCTTCTGTAGTCAGTGGAGGTGAATGCACGCTTTGGAGCAGGATTCCTGTACCGTGTTGTAGGTATCCATCTCAGGATGAGATGATCAGCAACTGGGGAAAAAAAAAAAAATAATTCCTCCATAGCCCTAAATAGGGAATCTAGTCAATTAACTCAGACACATAACTTCCCTGTAGGCTCATAAAGGCAGAAGAGTTTAATTCACCTGAAGAGATGATGTCATTACCCATGCTTCTGTAAAACAAAGGGTTTTAAATGCCTCCATGAATAATATGCATATTAACCTAGTAGAAAACAAGTATGTATTGAGTTCAGAGAAGTTTGAGTCCTTGTTCAGAATTAAAGCAAAAGGTTAAAATCATATATTGTGATGAAACCATTTTGAGAACTTTTAAGTAATGCTGTGCTGTTGTTTTTGAAGACAAATATATGAATGTAGTAAGACATTGTTTATGAAGCATCAGTACCTGAGATGCTGAATGTTGTTTGCCACCTTCTTGTGTCTTAAGAATTGTCTACCTGAGGATAGCTGTACTTGGTGATTTCATTTCAAGAATTTTGCAGAGACCTGTGCTGTGCTCTGTGCTGGTGTATGTAGAACAACAGAGCACTGCACCTTGTCAGTATTGCAGGGAGCTAAGGATGTTGCAAATCAACGTAGCACCTTGGAGATGATTACAAAGGGAAAATGTATTTTCTTCCCTTATCAGACCCTCATTTTCATAGGTAGGACAGTGGACACATGCATGAGCAAAAAGCATGTTTTCTGCACAATCCAAGTAGTGTTGTGGTTCGTTAAGTGGCTTCTGTTATTCTTGAAAGAGTGCTTGCATTTATTGAATTTTGTGATAACTGTATTTCATGCACAAAGGGAAAAATTCAAATTACTACAAGTACTGTTTGTAACACGGGTACATAATTAAAATTTTGTAAATGCCATGGTATTCTTGTGTATAGCCCAAGCCTCTGCACTTTTGATTCGATTTGAGACTAATATCCATGGAGAATGAGCACGTTGAGACTCTTTCCACTTGCCAGGACTGCTGGATAGGTGACGCTTAGTCGTAAATGACATGCATCTTCTCATACTGCAGTTTCTTGGTAATTATTTGTTTTGGCAGCTTCAGAAAGAGTTACTGAAGGATATGTGTACTTTGTATGTTATTTTCTACTATATGTAATAGTTTCACAGTGACTTGAGAATAAGGTACTCTTTTCTGTAGATTGTAAAGAAAGCCTTAGTAGCCACTGAGATACCAGTCTGCTTTGATTGGGCATTTGTTGTGTAGCAAAAAGAGAGAGTCTATATCCATAAATTACACCAGTGACATTGCTATTGCCCTAGTATTTTGCTCAAGAGCTCCTCAGATTTGATGGTATTAGGCAAACTGCACTGCAACCTTGGATGATAGAGAACATTAAAAGCATACTATGCATTGTAATCGGACAATAAAATTCCATTACTTTGTTGTCTAATGTTACTGGCATTAATTTTCAAATTACACTCACTGCAAAAATACAATTTTGACACTACCATTACTGGAAGCAAGTATAATTTTCTACATAAGGTCAAAAGGTTTCTCTTTTAATGGGATAAGGATTTCTTTTTTCAAGACATTAATGCTCAATGAATTTCTGTCCATTATGTGAGTCATACTCTAGAACTATATATAAGCAATATAACCAGCAACCAAAGTCCACAAAAAATGTCAGAAAACTTTTCTGCTGTGTGTTGACTCCACTCTTGAATTCAATTGGCAATCCAGTCTGCTGCTGAACAGGTACATCCTAAATGAAATGGAATACGTAAAGCCCCAAGTGTTCGCATATTCTTATCTACTTGCCACAAGAGTAACAAATTACTGTTTTAGAAAATTATAATTTAAGAGCTTCCATATGTGTTTTAAAGTCATTTTCATAGGTGTCTAATGTTGTCCACTTAGTAGTAATCTTCAGCGTATTTTAATATTAGTACTACTTTTTCTGACAGTTTCAAGTATGTTTGTCTTGTATTCCTTCATGAATGTCATGCCAAAGACAAGCCCAAATCTATAAGATACTTTCAAAACTAGAGAGTAGCAATTTAATTTCACTAATGCCCACTCTCCAGCTCTTGCGCTTAAACCATGAGTTAGAAGGGCTGCTGTAAGGGTGGCCACGTTTCCCTTTGTGCTCGTGGAGGTGCATGCTTGGGCAGCTGAGAATGTATTTTTGCAATGTGACTGAGCATTGTGAACTGAACTGAGATTGCTCCCTATTTTGATGGCAATCTTTCAGAAAAATGCAATGTCCTCTTTTGAGACTTTGCTTCTTGTCTGGGACATAAACTGGAAATTTAGATTTTAAAAGATTCATCATTTGTCAATATATCCTGAACTCCCTCTTTCATACCCATTAAATTGTGAAATACCAGAACATTACTAACTTTATAAGGGAAAAATTGTAAAATTTACACTTAGCTTGTTTTCATAGAAGCAGGGGTGGGAAGAAGAGAAACCACTACATCTTAGTCTGCTAAGACGACCTGAGAAGTATTTACACAATTTTCATGTCTTCTAGATCCCTGCCCCAAATCCCAGCCCAAAGCCCTTTTGTACCTCCCATTCCACCATTGGAGTTACAAATCTGAGTCTTGGAAGTATTTGTTGCTATTCTGTCAGTGCTTCTCAGTGCTTACTCTGTGACATACTCAAAACTGATAACTATTTTTTGACTTATGCATGAAAATAACTTTCAAAATAGTAGTTTGCATTTTGAAATCTTTTCTGGCAAGTAATTGGGTTGTGGGCGGTACTTGCTAATGCTTGAATGTTTTTCCTACTTGCAAATGATGTCAAACTTTAAGTTTTACACCAGCACATGGCTCAGTGGTGAATAATAAGCTCTTCGTGCCAAATATGGCTTATCTGTCATAGAATTTAAAAAGCGAATTTCTGTTTCAATATTTGTGGAAGTACTAAGTGGCATAAGGAATGATATTCTGCCTTTGTTATTGCTCACAGTTTCACAAAGCAGCAAGGATGGAAATAAAATAAGTCTTTGATGGGTTTACCACTGCTGTTAAAATCATAGGGAAACAAGTAAAATAGATTTTGGCAGTTGAAAGTAACCTAACTGGCAATGCTTCAGTTAACTTCAATATGTGTTAGTTTTATATGTATCTCTCTTTGTCTGTGAATCTATCAGTATTACCTATCTACTGTGTTTGCTTTTAAAAGCATTATTTCAGAGTGAAAGTGTCTTCAGAAGAATTCACAACGGGGTAAAATATCCATACTTATTAAATGTATACCCCAGTGTGTCTAGAACAGTTCAGGTTGATAGAGAATTTTTCATTAATTTAGGGACTGTCTTCCTTTTCCGATGTCAGTGGGGAAAAAATTACATTGATTGCAAGAAGTTCAGTTATTTGTGTGTCATGTACTTTTCTTAATGAAAAAATACCATCTTCTCTGAATTGATAGATAAGCAATCTACTGCTCTTTGATTTGAATCTTCTTTCAAGATTTTTTTCTCAAAATCTTGAAATAGCAGCAGCATTCGCATGTCCTTTTGTTTTGTTAGGCATTAATAAATGAGTTATTACCAATAATTTGGCAATACTAATCATAAATGGCTCTAATATGAAGTGCTTGCTTTGCTAAATCAGTCGTACCGGCCCTATTCACAAGTCATGGCATAGAAGGAGGAGACGCTGCACAGGATTCTAATAAACATCAAGTTCAATGTCATCTCTTCTTGTAATCTAAGATGAGTTGTGCTAAATTTAACAAATATGCAATATATATATTTACGTATGATGCAGTAATAATTAGGTGACTGTTAACTGAAGTCTGGTTCTTTAATGACTTACCAAATATTACCTGAGTTACTCAAGGTTAGCAATTAATTGCAGAGAAAAATTCAGTTCTATATAGCAAGTACTAATTATTATAGTCATTTTAGAATTCATTTTAGAGTCTTAACCAAACACAATGCAGAAGTGTATTTTCACTGTAAAAAGTTGATTGTTCCTGAGGACTATTCTCAGGAGCCCCCCACATCCCAAAGGATATTGTGTAGTATGGTTGAATAAACTTTTAAAATGTAAAACAATAGGCATTGACAGATTCACCTTGTTTATTTTAATTAAAACAAATACAATAAGAAACGGGAATGTAAAGTTCAAATTTTTTGCACTTGAGTTGACCAAACAACACTTCCTAGGGATACTAATGCCTGAAAATATCGAGCATTTGTTTAATTGAACAAACACTTCTTTCTGTTATTCATTACTTGAATTTATGGTAACGTTACGGTGTTAGGATTTCTACCTTGCCAACCTACCTTCAGCTGTTTCATTTGATTCAATTGGAAAATATTTTCATTTTGCAAATATGAACTAACCTCCATCTTCATAAATGTACCTGTAGCATGTCTTTGTTACTGGGAAACCAAGACATTAATGATGCAGTCATGCTTTAGTTACCTGTCAGCTAGCATGAATATAAGAAGAGAAAAAACAAATTGAAATGGCAAGTTTCCTAGTAGTGAAAGATAGAATATTTTGTTCCTTTTGGTTTTTCTCACAGGTATTTACTCATGAAGTCTACTCCTTTAGTAGTAGCCTGTAGGCATTGAAGGAAGATCTATAAAGGAAAAGCAGAGAAAGATTTGGACTTCAAAAAAAGGAGCAAAACAAAATTAAATTATAATTTGGAAGACTGCAAGCTATCTTTTTTAAAAGAAAATTTTTC